TTGTAAAATATGTTTCCAGCTTTCCTGAGGAACATGAAGAAATATTGTTTTTCAGGTAACTGATGTTTTATACAATGTATTTTGTATGTTGTCCATTATTTCCAGACAAAGTTATTCAATCTGCTTCAACTTACCTGTTTTACACATTTGATGGTGAGCAACAATGGTTAGAACAGCTTTTACCTTTAACAGGCTTGTCAATAGTTTCCTCTCTAATCACCTGAGACAACTCTTTCCTTCACTTCATCAGGTCCATGTTGAGTGTGGTACACACCATGTCACCAAACAGCAGAATAACTAACATACAGTAACAATAACAGTAGCTCTCTCTATATAAGCCCACTGGCTAATTAATGAACATGCCTTTATTTAACAAGCCCCTTTTGTTGCATTATGTTCAGTCTTTTCTAGGGTGCCATTATTTTATTCCAGGCTTGTTAAATGAGTTATTTTTTAATAATTATGTCGAAGTATGGTTGAAACACAATGTCTGACTTTCATTTATTCATCTTCATAGAATTGTTATGTATTTTAATTTTGTCAAATGCATGTTATTCATGGGTCCATTGTGGGTTTTGCTTTCATTAAATGAGGGTTACCTGCAATTCTGTCCAAGTTTGTCAATTACAATAATTCTAATACTTGTTTAAGGTGTTTTTTTTTTTTTTTTTGCCTTTTTTGAAAAGTTTAAACAACTGCTTTTTTGTATAAGCAGAAAGTATGGCTAGTACACATAATCGTGTAGTACAGCATTCAGAGTAGAATTTGTTAATAGAATCAGGTGGAAATAAAGGTTTACTGAATGGAGTAGGACTTAAAGTTAAAGTCGAGTTACACTCTAGTCATAAGAACAAATGACTCAGTAAAATATAGCCAGCCTAGCAATTACAAGATCTGATAAAAATGTCTTGTGTTAGCATGATTTTAGTTTGACATTAGAATTTAACCCTAATTCTCCAATCTAAAACTGCAGTGACTCCAATATTTATTACTAATAACTACTCCACCTATTCTCTCCACCTATCTCAGAAGCACCATCCAATCTCATCAATTCAACAACAAGCATTTTCCCTTTTTATTAGACAAGCTATGTTAAAACTAATAAGAAC